GACGTTAATAGTGTGTCTGTGTGTGTGTAGGAGACGTTAATGGTGTGTGTGTAGGAGACGTTAATAGGTGTGTGTGTGTGTGTGTGTGAGGAGACGTTAATAGTGTGTGTGTGTGTGTGTAGGAGACGTTAATGGTGTGTGTGTGTGTGTGTGTGTAGGAGACGTTAATAGTGTGTCTGTGTGTGTGGGGGTTAATAGTGTGTCTGTGTGTGTGTAGACTTTGTGTGTTGTGTGTGTGTGTTGTGTGTTGTGTGTGGAGACGTTAATGGTGTGTTGTGTGTGTAGGAGACGTTAATAGTGTGTCTGTGTGTGTGTGGAGACGTTAATGTGTGTTGGGTGTGTGTGTTGTGTGTGTGGGACGTTAATGGTGTGTGTGTGTGTGTGGGAGACGTTAATAGTGTGTCTGTGTGTGTGTAGGAGACGTTAATAGTGTGTGTGTGTGTGTGTGGAGACGTTAATAGTGTGTGTGTGTGTGTGTGTGGGAGACGTTAATAGTGTGTGTGTGTGTGTGTGTAGGGAGACGTTAATAGTGTGTCTGTGTGTGTGTGTAGGAGACGTTAATAATGTGTCTGTGTGTGTGTAGGAGACGTTAATAGTGTGTGTGTGTGTGTGTGTAGGAGACGTTAATAGTGTGTCTGTGTGTGTGTGTAGGAGACGTTAATAGTGTGTCTGTGTGTGTGTAGGAGACGTTAATGGTGTGTGTGTGTGTGTGTGTGTAGGGAGACGTTAATAGTGTGTGTGTGTAGGAGACGTTAATAGTGTGTCTGTGTGTGTGTGTAGGAGACGTTAATAGTGTGTGTGTGTGTGTGTGTAGGAGACGTTAATAGTTGTGTGTGTGTGGAGACGTTATGTGTGTGTGTGTGTGTGTGTGTGTGTGTGTTTGTTTGTGTGTGTGTGTGTGTGTGTGTGTGTGTGTCTCCAGATCTCCGTGCATCTGTACGTGTGTGTCTCAGATCTCTCCGTGTATCTGTACGTGTGTGTGTCAGATCTCCGTGCATCTGTACGTGTGTCTCCAGATCTCTCCGTGTATCTGTACGTGTGTGTGTCTCCAGATCTCTCCGTGTATCTGTACGTGTGTGTGTTCTCAGATCTCCCAGTGTATCTGTACGTGTGTGTGTGTCTCAGATCTCCCAGTGTATCTGTACGTGTGTGTCCAGATCGTCCTCGAACCTATTAGAAAGTATCAGGTCGCTTCATCAATTTAAGCCTTATGCGTGGGCGAGCGTTGTGTGTGTGCGTGTGTGTGTGTGTGTGTGTGTGTGTGTGTGTGTGTGTGTGTGTGTGTGTGTGTGTGTGTCGGGTTATACAGGACACAAGGGCACACACACACACACACACACACAATATAGTAATAATAATAATAACTACTGTCACTGCTATCAAATACACTGAAGGTTAGTAGTGACGTGGCCGGATACATAAGACTACAGCTATTGGTGGCACAGTTGGTTGTGCTCCCGTCTACCGTCTGATAGGTCTGGGTTCGAAACTCTAGTAACAGTCGTGTTAATAAATAAAAATGATATACTGTATAATATGTTACGTTACTTTTAAATACTTGACGGCGTTATGATAGTTTACATATTATTATTGATCGACTGAGTGACATACACACACACACACACACACACACACTGAGTTAAACACGCACATACGCTGAGATAAACACACACACACACTGATACACACGCACATACTCACAATTATATGTCATATTGGTATCACTTATTGTACTTGTATATTATTTGTAAATCAAGAGATCCATTCCCTAATTATGTAACTGTATATTTTCAGCCTTCCAGCTGCCATGCTCTTTCAATAAACCGTTAATTATTATTATTATTATTATTATTATTATTACACACACACACACACACACACACATCAAACGAATAAATGATGTTATGTGATGCTGTGCGTTGCTTTACGGTGTTGCGTGATATTATGTGATGTTATGTGTTGCAATGTGATGTTATGTGTTGCAATATGATGTCATGTGTTGCAATATGATGTTATGTGTTGCAATGTGATGTTATATGATGTCATGTGTTGCTATGCGATGTTATGTGTTGTTATGTGATGTTGTGTTGCTATATGATGTTATGTGATGTTGTGTAATGTTATGTGGCTCTGTGTGGTGTTATGTGATGTTTTGCGATGTTATGTGATGTTGTGTGTTGATGTGTGTTATGTGATACTATGTAATGCTACGTGTTGTTGTGATATGTTGTTATGTGGCGCTGTGTGATGTTATGTGGCGCTGTGTGATGATATGCGGTGCTGTGCGATGTTATGTGATGCTGTGTGGCTGTGTGTGATGTTTTGCGATGTTATGCGTTGATATGTGATGTTGTGTTGCGCTGTGTGATATTATGTGATACTGAGTGTACTATGTAATGTTATGTTGTTATATGTTGTTATGCAGTGCTGTGTGATGTTATGTGGTGCTGTGTGATGTTATGTGATGATGTATGATGTATATATGTGATGTTATGTGATGTTATGTGGTGTTATGTGTTGCTATGTGTTACTATGTGATGCTATGCGGTGTTACGTGGTGCTATGTGATGTTACGTGATGTAATGTGATGTGATGTGCTATTACGCAAAAAAAAGTGACAATGACCTACTTTTACCCAAACGTACCATTGTCTAAGCTGTCGATTTAGCCCAGACAGACAGACAGAGAGAGACAGACAGACAGACAGAGAGATACAGGAAAATAATAAGAATATAACCTTCACTGGTGTTTAAAATCAGTTCGAAAACAACCTTGTATACTGACATACTGACAGACGGACAAGTAGCACAGATGAGTGTGTCTTTCATACTCAGTAGAGACTAGAGACGCAACACAAAAGTCATCAGACAGATACACACACAGAACAGCGACTCAATGTAAACAAACCAAAACAAAGACGCAGCGGCTGGGTGGTGTCGGGGGACGGGCGTGGCGCGGCTTTGGTTCTCAATGGCCCGCATGGCGCACCCCCCCCTACACCCTCTGCACCACATTATTACGCCATTATCACGCTATTATTACGTAATTATTTCGTCGTTAATACCTATTGACTCTCTGGCCGCCATTGTCACGTTTAGAGAATCTGCCAGCGTCTAGGGGTCAAACCAGTAGCCCCTTCACCCGACAAGTTGTGCGAAGGTTACAAATAGTTCCTCAGTTGAGATATTTTGTCTTGTCTTTGGGTAATAATTCTCCACTAACTATTAATGACGTCTAGGAAACCATTTATAAACATACCATAACTATTTTTTTCTACCTGTACTATCTAGTGAATAAATTATGAATAAAGTTAACCATTTTGAGTAAGTTTTGTGTCATTTAATAATTTACCGCCACAATATATCATCTAGCGAATCCTTTACTTAATGTTGGCCATTTTTACTTAACTTTATTCCTCCTTTGACACTATTATATATATATATATATATATATATATATATATATATATATATATATATATATATATATATATATATATATATATATAATATACGGTACAGGTCTTTAGTTATGAAATTGAATTATTAGGGGTTGAAGGAAAGAGTGGTGAAACTGAAATACAGTAGGAGTAAAGAGAAAAGAATCTGAATCAGCCAGATCGCTTCATATATATATATATATATATATATATATATATATATATATATATATATATATATATATATATATATATATATATATATATATTGCTGCAGACTTAACTCGGCGTGTGTGTGTGTCAGGCATATTTCCGTCACTTCTGCTTTGTCAGATTTCCCTCTCTCTCTCACACTATCACCTTGTCACTTTTTCTTTCTTTCTTTCTTTCTCTTTCTTTCTTTCTCATTTCTATCTGTTTCTCAATGATTTACCTGTCACTCACGGCTTGTGTTCTGTCTCACTCTAATTTAACTGTCTCTTACTGTCTGTCTATGTGACTTTCTGACTCCTATTCTGCCTCTCTGTCTTCTCGTCTCTGTATCTGTTTTATCTGTCTTTATCTTTCTGCCTCACACACACACACACACACACACACACACACACACACACACAGCCGGGCACCACTGTATACCTGCTGTTGCCTTTACTGCGTGTATGGGGAATAGGATGAATAGGTGTATGAGAGAGAGAGACGCGGTAATGGAAGGATTCGAAGAGAGAATAAAATAGGCAGGGGGAGGGGGGAGCGGAGAGAAACAGAGAGAAGGAAAGACTGGCAAAGATAGAGAGATTAATAAAGAGAGAGAGAGAGAGAGGGGGAGAGCCGTGAAACTCTCTCTCTCTCTCTCTTCTTATGTAACTATTACTCTTTCTATATTACTCTTTATGTTTTTCGCTCTGTCGTTCGTTTCATTATGTATTATTCTCTCTCTCTCTCTCTCTCTCTCTCTCTCTCTCTCTCTCTCTCTCTCTCTCTCTCTCTCTCTCTCTCTCTCTCTCTCTCCTTGTCCCAGTGTTAGCGCTCTGCAGATAAAACTGGTCAATAATTTCCAATGCTGCCTCGTAATTTAATGTCTCACTTGGAGGCATTTAACTGTTCATGATGTCGGTCAGACTGTGAGCTATTAAGTGTTAAGTATCTCATTTGTAAAGTGTCTCCTGGGAGCTGTTGTGTGACCTCATCTCATTTATAATATGATGTCACTCTATACAGCCAGTGTGTGTGTGTGTGTGTGTGTGTGTTTTGTCGGAATAAATTGACTCTTTCGGGTGATATTGTTGTTTAAATTCGTACTCCAGACATAGTTGAGTAATATAACATAATTCTGCCCTCTAGCTCAGTGTGTGATTCGTGTATTGTCCACCAGTGGCCCCGTTATACACAGTAATACAAGCAAGGTACTCTCCATGTATTCACTATGGTTCTTGCACATCAATTCATTTGTATACTACATTCATACACTTTGGTCACTACACATAGTACACCCACTAACACAAGTGTATAGTACACAGCGACACTACGAGATTATTGACAAATTTGTGTTCAGGAAAAACCTTACCTGTTGAGTGTGTGGGACGGTGCCGGGGCCAGGTGTGGCGGTAGGGAGGTCAGGCAGGATCACTCTACGCTCTTGAAGAACACATGGGTCAAAGGTCAAACGCCAGGGACCTCCTCTACACTGGTGACCTCCTGGGTGACACTTGGTAACGCTCACTACAAGTCACCACAGCACAGACGTCAACACGACAGGGAGAGAGAGTCTCAGGAAGGGACACGATCGTTAAAAGTCAGTGTGTGTCATGACCTTTACATTGGTCAACAGACAGCGGGTGCGGCCTTCCTGAAGGGACAGGCTAGACCAAACACCACTGTACAGGCCCTGCGTCCTGCATGACACAGACAACAACGCGAGCACAGGTGTGAGCGAGGAGCGGCAGGTGAGGGGGGACACAGACAGGGTCGTGTGCCGCGCGGACGAAACACGGCGGCGGTCTAGCGGCGGGGTAGCGGCGGCGGTGGCAAGTCACCCCTGGGAGGAGGAGTGGGGAGCACCTGGGCATGCGTGCCACCCCCCCACTCACGGGCCGGGCCCACCCACAACACTCCAGGCCCCCCACCCCCACCCTCTGCTGTCCCACCCCAACCTCGACCAGGGGAACCCAGGGGGACGTCTCCTACCCAGCTCAGCTCCTCCACTTGAACACTCGCAGGCAAGCGGGACACACCTCGCTTCTGCTGCTGCTGCTGCGGGACAGGCTACAGGGTTGTACAGTTGACTAATACACAGTCAGAGGCTTTACACACTACACCTTTTTCACAGTTATACACACTACACTTCACTACGCACAATAGGTAGGATAAACACGGCATCATACACGCGACGAATTACAACTCATTACTCTTATGAACTTTTACAAAATATTTCTGAACCATTCCTCTTCACCCACACTTGCACACTTGTACATTAACACGGTAGTAAGTTCCTCTGCGGGTGAACGTGACACACCATAAACGTTCACTCGCTCGTTCTAATTCTTCTCCCTTCCAATTCTCTTCATTATAATATTTCTTTCAACATGCACTTACGTTTTTCTCTCTGTCTCTTTCACAAGTTTCTGTTAGTCATGGTTCCTTTCTTTATATCCACAGTAAAGTCTAATAAGCACCTGTAGTTCTCACCCTCAGTCCAAGGCTAATTATCTGCATCACCTGGAAAGAAGAAAGAATATTTGTAGATAAAAAAAAAGTGTTTATACGAGCATAATAATGAAAATAAAACTCAACAGTGGTGATGGCTGTTATAGTTCCACCCATATCTTCTCGGGGGAACTTTTATCCAAACACAGGAAAAAAGTATATAAGGCCTTGGGTGAAAAGTTTAATATATTTTGTGTGTATTTTTGTTTTTACGGGAAAGGTTAGTGGTAGAGGAAGGGTTCAAAAGGATAAAGGAGAGAAATGTCTGGTAAAATAATATTGAATTTACGAATCGTGTTCCTGCTATCTTTGACTTCTTCTGATACACACACACACACACACACACACACACACGCACGTATAGATTATGTACCTGGAGATTACCTGCAATAAGAAGAAAATAAAAGGAGAATTAGTACGAAAAGATGATAAGATTTTCATAAAAGATTTCTGACAGGAATTCAGATACAAGTACATTAATAAAAGCAATACTAACTCGAAATATATTCTCTTACAACTCCAGCTATATTTAATTTAATTTCCATGTATTTTCAGTCACTACTTCCTATTCTTCCTTCCTGCTACTCCTTGTTCTCCCTAGATCTCGCATTTCACTACCGACCTCCCCCTCCTTCCCTCCTCATTTTCACCTTCATCATCTATTTCACTTCAATTCATCTTCTTGTCGTATATTTCCATTCATTTTCACCTCTGTCTAACATTTTCACCCCGCATCGCCCATCAGTTTTCCATTATTTCACGTCTTTTTTCTCATCAGTCCGTCACATTATTATGGACAGGGTGGACAGGAGACAGAAGAGGTAAGACCCTAGCTGGCTGATCAATGGTGTGGCCCTGTGAGAAAGACTTCAGGGATACAGAACCCAATACTCCTCACCTATTTCTATTGTCTCTCAGAGGATATGAAGTAAATTTTCAGATCACGTGAAGATTAGACACCCTTGATGATTAAACCTCCTAATTCTACCTGGAGGAATTAGGTTAGGTTGGGCTAGGTTAGGGTCTTTAATCATTGTATGTGTATTATTTACTTATATATTATCATGCATATGCTGATGTCTTGCGCTACTGTGCATGGGGTGCACGATAAACTAGTCGCCCAGGGTCAAAGCTAAGCAGACACTCCGTCAGTGATCATGTGAGGTGGTTAGGTTATTGGGGTTAATTTTATTTTATTTTTTATTTCCGTTCTGAGGAATACAGGGTCTTTACACACACACACATGTTATCTCCCCTCCCGCCTCCGTCGCACTGATACCCAACATCCTGTCTTAGCTGGGGCCCGTCTTGCCAGCTCCTCGGGCCCACATCCAACCAATCACGGCACCGGATACACTCCTCTTACCCAATCACAAGGCCGGATACATTTCTCTTGCCCAATCAAAGGCCCGGATACATTCCCCTTAGCCAATCACAGCTCCAGATGCACTCCCTCTTAGCCAATCAGCGAGGCGGTACCCCTGACTCGGACAAGACACTTGCTGGGTAAGGAATGAGCCACTCGAGTACTCATGAGTCACTTTAGAGTAGAGGAGAGGAGGGGGAAGGAAACCCAGGTGAAAACTGACTCACCACTAATCACTTATAGTTTGAGTCACTACAGACGACTACTTGTGACTATACAGGTGACTCAGTACGCAATTCTACAAGGGACTCAACAGGACATTACTAGTACCTATATGTGACTGAGTGACTCAAAAAGTGACTACAGGTGATTAAAAAATTATATCTTTACTGGTCACTTTCTACAAGTGACTCTACAAGTGGTTCTACAAGTTACTACAAGTGACTCTCCAAGTAGCTCTACATTTGAGTAAAAGTGGCTTTAAAGGTGACTACAAGTTACTTTACAAATGACTCTACAGGTAACTCTAAAGTGACTTACAGTTGTCTCTGATAATAGCACTACAGGTGACTCGACTAGTGACCCTTCAGGTGACTAAAGTTAACTGCAGGTGACTCAGGCCAGGCAAGACTAAGAACTGGTAAGACTAGAGACTGATAAGACTAGGGACTGATAAGACTAGGGAATGGTAAGACTAGGGACTGATAAGACTATGGACTAGTAAGAGTAGGGCCTGACACTGAGGCCTGGTAAGACTAGGGACTGATAAGACTATGGACTAGTAAGAGTAGGGCCTGACACTGAGGCCTGGTAAGACTTGGGACTGATAAGACTAGGGACAAGTAAGACAATGCCTGATAACACTGGGGACTGGGGCTATTGAGACTGGAGCTAGTGGGACTGGGGGCTTGTGGGACAGAGACCTATGGGACTAGGGCTAGTGAGATTGGGGCTTAGTGGGATTGGGGCCTCGTGGGCGTGAGGCGTAGGACTGCACTGAGGCCTATTTATTTGGGGGGTTATTAGAACTGGGGCTGGATAAAACTGGGGCCTAATAGGAAAGTATTGTTATTGGAGTTTCGTAGAATTGGGGCCAAATGGAACTGGGGCATATTAGAGCAGAATCCTAATACGACGAGAGAGAGAGAGAGAGAGAGAGAGAGAGAGAGAGAGAGAGAGAGAATACCTTTAGGCTGGCAGGAAACTTTACACCCACAGTATCTGTTCGAGTCTCTCACCACAGTTGTTTTGAAACGTGATCTCCGAGTGTTGTCTGTCGATCGTCGCCTTCCTCTTCTATCATCGTTTGGCGACATGACAACGCGACTCCCCACAAGATAGATAAATGAGACCTTTTCTTACGTACGGCTTTCTGCCTCTTGGATGGAACACCAATATTCCACTGACTTAAAATTGAGCAGAATAAAAAAAAAATGTAAGCCTACTTCTCTCTTTCACAGACTAGTTAAAAATCACGGCTGACACCTTGCCATTTTGTTCTTATGACCAATCACATCCCCACTTAAAAACACTAGGGGACACACACACACACACACACACACACACACACACACACACACACAATAACATTCCAACACACAAAACCCTCCGCCTGAATCGGTCCGAACCAATCACTAGCATGTTTACATCTCGCACCAACATTTAAGCCAATCACACCCTGGTTTGCATGATCTCGACCACTCAGACAGCCGCTCACACGTCGCCTCGGCCATCTTTGGGTGCAAGTGGAGATAAGCTTCCTGGAGCAGCGACCCAGCAATTGATGAATGGCCACCCTGTGATAAGACCCACTTGCAGGAGAGGAGGGCGGGGGCAATATAAACGGACCAGATGTTGAGCCCTAATAAAAAATCACTATTTACAACGACAATATCTCCACGACAGGGAACACATGGCAAACAAAGGTGCGAGGGGATAAATAAACGGCGACAACTGGCGGGAGAGACGAGGCTAAACTCCAGCCAGGCAATAAACTAGATAGAGCGTGCGGGGTTATGTACAGTGGTGGGCGACGTGGCAACACCGCATCAAAACACTCATTTGTCAACAGTGTAGTCAGTGATGTAAATAATAAACACCTCGAGTGTAAATACTATCATATATATATATATATATATATATATATATATATATATATATATATATATATATATATATATATATATATATATATATATATATATATATATATATATATATAAGGCTAACATTAACATTAGTAATGACAAGTACAATAATCTTACTCCATCAAACAGATGACAGACACACAAAAGAATAAAAACTTAAAGATAATCAGACCAGTGATACCATTACACCTAAGCGCTGTACAGTACAGTATACTATAACAAGAGTTAGTACTGTACCTTAACTCTGGGGAACCTACACTACCTGAACCACTTTGTTATTGTTGCCGTCATAATATGTCAACACATCAGAGACAGTTAATAAGGCAACATTGCACATTTAATTTGATTAAAACAGATGTACCGATCAACAGGTGTAACGATCAACAGATGTAAAGATCAACAGTGTAACGATCAACAGATGTAAAGATCAACAGTGTAACGATCAACAGATGTAAAGGTCAACAGATGTAACGATCAACAGATGCAAAGATCAACAGTGTAACGATCAACAGATGTAACGATCAACAGATGTAAAGATCAAAAGCTGTAACGATCAACAGCTGTAACGATCAACAGATGTAACGATCAACAGGTGTAACGATCAACAGGTGTAACGATCAACAGATGTAACGATCAACAGTGTAACGATCAACAGATGTACCGATCAACAGATGTAACGATCAACAGATGTAAAGATCAACAGTGTAACGATCAACAGATGTAAAGGTCAACAGATGTAACGATCAACAGATGCAAAGATCAACAGTGTAACGATCAACAGATGTAACGATCAACAGATGTAACGATCAACAGATGCAAAGATCAACAGTGTAACGATCAACAGATGTAACGATCATTTGGTTCCCCCACCTGGAGAT